GTCTGGAGAAAGAAGGGTTCTCTCCTGGGGGGGGGGGGGGGGCTTACTTGACCTCTCTGGTGCCTTGGTTTCTTTAGCTGTAAAATGGGTATAACATCCCCTGTATCATAGAATTTTAAGTATTATATGAGTTGACGTTTGTGAAACATCATAGAGCCATGCTTGGCATAAAATAAGCCTATATACATGTTTGATGAAATAACACAAATAGTCACTATTATGTTATTACATATTGAACTTTGGACAAATCAACAAAAACTTGGTGGTCATTAACCAAGGCAGGATAGACAGAATTCTAGATGCCCCCAGGATTCGAAGATCCTGGTACACATACTTCTTCTGTCATTTAACCAAACACTAACTTAAGTGCTGCTCTGAAGGGATTTTTGCAGATATAATTAAGATCCGAAATCAGCTGACCTTAGATCAGGAAATTATCCAGGTGGGCCTGACTTGGTTAGGCAAGCCTTTTACAAAAGAATTATTTCCAGCGGGTGGCAGAATAGGAAATCAGGGAGATGCACTCCACCTAGCCTGAAAACAAGCAATGAGAGAGGGATAAAATTGCCGCTGGTTGAAACCATTGAACTAGTGACTACTCTATTGGGCAGCAGAGTTCTAGAATATGCTTAATATCTATATGGTGTTTTGGTTGAAAAAAAGAACGGGACCCAATATTATACTAGGCCAGTAGTGGTTTTTAGGGCAGTTGGGAAGGTTAAAAGGTCTTTACTCCATTTGTGGGGATGATCATCTATTAAATGGATTTGCAGATTAGTTGATCACCTGTACTATTTAAGAAAAAAACATGCTGTTCTAGTAAGTCTGTTGTAGTCCTGGTTAAACTCACTGGGTTTGGTTGAGGAAAAATTAACATAAGCAAGGGTGTGATACATTTTGTATGAGAAAATGCATTTTGTATGCTATTTCCCTAAGTGGGTGCTTTCAAAAGGAAAACTATAGCAAACATACCCACGTCTCCTTACCCCTGAGTGCATGATGTCCTGACTAGAGTAGAAGATCCAGGAAGTCACGGCTGCTTGTCTTGCTCAATATTACTACCCCAAGTGCCTAGAACAGTGCCCAACACAGACACAGTCATGAACGAAATATTTCCTAAATAAATGAATTAGTGAAATTCAACGAATTAGCAAGTGACAGGGTGCTGATGTTCATTAGCTATCTAGATTCTGAGCAGTAAACAAACAGAATCAGATTAAGACAGAAAAATGGGAGCAGGAGGCAAGGCTCCATAAAGTCACATTTAAATTAATGTGTATATTGGAAGAAAAGAAGAACCCCATGCTGGTGGAATCTCTCACTGCGAAGTTTTCATTCCTGAGTGGAAATTTCCAGAACCTACATTGTAAACCATTTTATGATGGGTCATTTATGAGAAGTAAGCCTTTTGCTTAGGGGAATATGAGGCAGTAGCACCATCTGCTGGGGAATTCGTGGAGCTCTTAGAACAGTATTCATATAGAGCAATTTAGAATCCCAGAAAAATTAACACTAAAAATATCTTCAGAGATCATCCAGACCAATGACATCCTGAGGCTTCATTGCATCAATAGAGAGAAAAAAATACTGTAACTACTTAAAGCAAATCCTCACTTGTATTTTTTTTCTCTCTATTGATGCAACAAAGCCCCAAATTCCTTTCAGAGACAACCAGAAGTACAGCAGTAGTTACTAAAGTACATCACCTGTAAATCCAAAATGGAACGGCAGTTTAAATCTATTCATTGTGAATGTCGGCAACACAAAATGAGAAATGTTTGATGTATTAATTTCCCAATTTGATCATTATACGCCATATTCACATATTGATTGAAAAGGCATACTGTAGTCCATAAATATGTACCATTCTAATGTGTCAATTAAAAATTGCAAAAAATTCCAGGCCGGCAGGTGGTGTGGTGATTAAGGGCACTGGACTCCCACATGGCTTACCACGGCTCGAATTCCAAACCTGGCTGTTTGATTTCTCACTTTCCCTCTCTCTTTTTCTCTTACTCTGTCCCTCTCAGGTCAAATTCAAGTAAATAAATAGAAATCAATAAAGTTAAATAAAACAATTCTTTCAAAAATTGCAAAAATCCGTTCACTGAGCATGTCAAGAGTGCTATCTAATAGGAATGTCTGCAATGATGGGGCAACAGAACTTTCCACAGCGATCTGTGTCTGTGCTGTCCACTGCAATAGCCATTAGTCACCTGTGGTTATTTAATGATTGAAATGCGGCTAGTGATTTTAAAGTTTATCCATTTTTTTCAATTTGCTAGTGGGCATGTGCATTTGCAGAGAGAAAAAAAAGTGAGAAAGTGCTCAACCCCAGATGTCTCCAGAGGGATAAAATTGCCACTGGTTGAAACCATTAAACTAGTGACTACTCTATTGGGCAGCAGAGTTCTAGAATATGCTTAATATGTATATGGTGTTTTGGTTGAAAAGAAGAACGGGACCCAATATTATACTAGGCCAGTAGTGGTTTTTAGGACAGTTGGGAAGGTTAAAAATAATTGGGCTAAGAACTATCTTTCTTCTTCGTCTCCCTTCCCATTCCCATGTAACAGAGATGGAGCCAGAATACTGATGTTGGAAAATTCTGCCTCAAAGCTCCCAGGGTAACATCAGCAAGCCCGTATGTGAATCTGGCTCCTCTCTCCTTGCTCTGCGTCACTGAACATACTGCTCTCCCTGAGCTCCAGTGTCTTACCTAAAGAAGGCAAAGAACAGGACCCACCCAGCAGAGTGGCTATGTGGGCTGAACTTGACAAACAGAGTGTTCCTTGCTTAGGGCTTGGCATGGGGTAGATGTCCAAAACAATATTCACTATTTTAGGCTCTCTCTTTCAGGCAGGAGAAAAACCTTCTCCATGCCTTCTAACCAGCAATACGAAAGTACCCAGTGTGTTTTTATTAAAAATAAAAATCCAACGGGAAAAAGTGTAGCTTAGTTCTACAAACCCAACTTTATTTTTTTTCAAATTCTAGTAGTCACAAAACTCAACATTCTTTTCCTATTGTTTACAAATCCAATCCCTTAATGCCTTTAAAGGTGCAGGAGGAACCGCTTCAGTCTCTCCGGGAGGACAAGTTCTGTGATCTTGTGATGTTGGTGGATTCCAAAGCACTTGCGAATTCTGAGGCGGCACAACTGCATCAAAGAAGGGGGCCCTGGACAAAGAGCGGAAGAAGTCACACATTGGTTTCACTGATCTAAGCTGCTTGTCCTTTCCTTTTTGTTTTTTTGTTTATTTGTTTGTTTGTTTTTTAAGGCATACAAGATATAACATTGCTATAAGGAAATAATTTGGCACTGTTTGAGGTCACTTTCTGTTTGTTGGGGTTTTTTGGGGGGGGAGGTAGGAGTTATTTTTAGGCCATGTTCCCTCTTTTCAGGTATCTAACTGGAGAACTTGATAGGTTTCCACTTAGAGCAGAGTGAAAGAAATGTAAAGCTTAGCCTCACCAAAGGAGGGCTTAAGGAAGCTACCTTGGGCCTCAGTCACATAGCTACATAAAAATGCCCGTCGTGACAGCAAAGTTCATGTTTCATGGTTTTCCTGTCTTAGACCTTAAACACGAGTTCATATCTTTAGTACAATGTTTTAGTTTATACTTTGAGCAATTTTAAGATATTCAAATACAATGAGCTCTCAGTGAGTCTTAAGAGTATGTTACCTTAAGTCACGTTTGTTTTTCTAGGCTGTGTGCAGAGCTATCCCAATGCTTTCACTCACAGGCAAGAAGTAAACTAGCCAACCCTGGCATAGGAACGATCAAGAGCTTACATTTTAGGACAGTGGTTCCCAAAAGGGGGCAGGTCAGGGGAAGGCAGAAGGGGAAAATTATTCTGCTTCCCAGGGACATTTGGCAATGTCCAGGGGCATTTTTCACTGTCCCAACTTGAGGAGGGTGCTACTGGCATCTAGAGGGTAGACATGGAGGCAGCTACATATCCTGTTGAAAAACCCCATTACAAGGTAAAAGGACAGGAAATGACTTCCTACAGGTCCCCCACATCTTGCACCAAATTGTAAGGGCAATTCTCCTTTGGTTATTTGAAAGCAATGCAAAACTATATACCCACGAGAATTCCATAAAGCAGTAACCCTCAATCCAAGCTGCGCCTCAGAATCACATGGGGGGGGGGGGCAATTGAAACTGCAGGCTGCCAGCCCCCCCCCAGA